CCCCCCCCCCCGCCCTTCTCCTCCAGTTTTAGAGTTGCTCTTCAGCGCTACTCTTGCTTGCTCCAGCCAGGCTGCAGAGGAGATGGACTGAAATGAATAGCAGCAGCAGCGGGGAGGATCTGGGTTCCTCCATACTGTTCAGTCCCTCCGGGAATAAATGTGGGAAGCCACTCCTGCTGTCACTGCCGTAGGTGAATCCAGTCCTTGTGCAGCCCAGCTGGAGTGGGCAGCAGCAGCTCTGTAGATCCCTTCACCCCCAGACAGCAGAGAAAGCAATCATAGCAGGTAGGGGATAGAGGAAGTGGAGGGGACTGCATGTGACTAAGCATGAAAGGGGTGGGGGATTCTCTTCCACGTTGGGGTCTTTTAAACAAGTCCCCTGAAGCTTCAGCAGCATGGTCCAATCTGAAAAGGAAGAAAAGACCCTTTCTGGCCCTGGAGCCACGCAGCTTCTGTTTAAGTCTTTGGAAATATCACCATTAGATGTTAGCTCTTTTGCATAAACTCCATTTTTTCTTTTGGTATATTATGAAATATAACTGGAGTGGTTTGCAGGTCATCTCATATTTTTGTAACAACAAGAGTTGAAGAATAGGATCAATTTCCTAATAAGTCTCCTTCAATTTAGTCAGAAGTGACCAGTCAGTTGGAAATAGTAATCAATCCTCTGCAGCTCCCCTTTATGACAGTTAATCAGGTTCTCAGAAGAGCTCAGGATCCAACATGCAACTGTCTAGGCATCTAAATGGTGTAACTACTTTTTAAAAATTTGTCTACAGTCATAGTTACTGAGTCTTTTCGAAATTTGGTCTTAATGCGCAATGAATTGTGTTACTGTGATTTGGGATATCTCTAAAACATGTAAAGCTCGTTGTAGCAAAATGAAACAAACTCTTTGACTTAACCTATAAAAATATGCCTACCTTTTGATACATTTGTAGGTGTCAAACTATGTTCCTCAAACCCTTACAGCTTGGCTTTGATGTCAGTGAGTGATATTAAATGTTTCAGAACCTGTTCTTGTTGTTCTTATCCATGTGCTTTGTCCATTTGTATGTTTAGCATCAATATAACAATATTGTGAACAATATAACAAGCATTACAGTAAAATAGTAACTGTTTATTGGAAAGCTTTTCTGTATGCATAGTAGTGTTAGACTGATGTTGTGGCCATGAGGCTAATTTGTTTGTCTGCTACTCCTTGTAATTTCTTCCCCCACTTAGAATTGTGTGCATGTGTGTTTGTGTGGGTTTTTTTGTTTGTTTGTTTAACTGTGCTGTATTGGCTACTCCTGGTCTGACCTGATGACAGTCTCACTGTAAACCAGCTGCATAGTTTGGATAATAAAAGATTTCACCTTAAGAAATCCTTGCGTCATGCATGACTATGCAGTAATTTTAATAGTACGAATATCAAGATATAGATATTTTTACTACATTGTCAATAATACAACTATGGATTTCTATTTGGAACATGGCAATTTAATTGAATTGAATTCCTGGAATCAAAATGGAGTTGGAAGTTGTGGTGTCGCACTTAAATGCTAATGCATTTAAAGTTCTTCAAATGGTTGAATATAAGTCAAAATAATTCAGCATTTTAGACCACCCTGGCCTCAATCTCCAGTATGCTGATGATGCTCACTCAGAAGCAGACCTTCAGGTAATTATCAGCATCTTTACTGAGGCATACAAAAAATGGGACTTAACATTCAGAAACTCTATCAACAAGCTCTTAATGAGCAGTACCCAGCTCTGGTAATTCGAATTCATGGTGAGACTTTGGAGAACATTAAATATTTCTCATACCTTGGAAGGCATCTCTTGCAGAAAGTTGACATTGACAAAGAAATCCAGTGTCACCTCAAATGGGCAAGTGTGTGAAGAGGCCTCCTCCACTGCTTCAGAGAACGAGAAGAAAAACCTGGGAAACTTACCGGACCTACAGGAAATGGCACCCATGCTGGGAATGCCACGGCTGCCAGAACACTGCTTTATCAGTTGTTGGTCCTTCCAGATAGGACATTGGGTACAATAACACCAATTTCTGGTGGAGTGGCCATGCCAGAGGGGAAAGAAGGGCAGACGGAGGAAGCAGGCAAGTTCCACTAACTTAGCCTGAAGTCCCAGCTGTGTGAACCCTGGGGAAGAAAAGAGGAGCAGATCTCAGTCCCAGAACTCAGAGGAGCTTTGACTATGGAGGATATGCTCATCGGTTTTCTCCAATAAGTGGATATGTGAGTGCCGGAAAGGACAAAGCGACCGCAAGCCACTCAGCATGAAAGAAGGTTGTTTCTTTTTTTCTTTTGTTCTTGAGTTGATGTCATATAATAGAAAGAATGCTGACTAATTGATTAGGACCTTGTTGAGTAAGGGGGAGGAACCCCAAGCTGTATTTATAATAGTGGACTGCTGGGGAAGGCAATGACATTGCCTAGCTGCAGTTAGTTTTTTTTTCTTTGAGTTAAGTTGTTCCTATCTGTGAGTCTGTGCCCAGACAAGGATCATCCCCCCAGCCCTCAGGGAAAGGAATCTATACCTGTGATAAAGAAAAAAAGAAAGTGCATAGCATCCTGGGACTTTGGGGACTGCCAAATACTTACCTGGGCTGTGCTGTTCTTTGGTTGCTCCAGTTGCGTTTTGTTTTAGTGATGACCAGACATTTCTCTGAGTCCACTCCATCCCCTTCATCCAGAACTGATGCTGAGAACATTCTAAGCCAAGAAAAAGAACAGAAGAGAAGTAGAACGCCCATTAACAACTGATAGATTTCTGATGGTAACTGAACATCTGGTTAATGTTTGGCTGGAGTGTAAGGGGAGGATGTAGCTGCAGGAGGAGCTTGAAGTGAACTCTCAGCAAGGAGAACACTTCCTGATATTTATAGATTACATCAAGACATGGCAGGCAATAACACGGTAAACATTGCTTTCTGATTCTGTGAGGATAATGAGGCCTACCCCTCATGGCGCAGACCTGCTGGGCACGAAGTCGTTGGGGCCCCTGGCCCTACTCTGCTTCACTGACAAAGTGTAGCCTACAGATGCCTGCTGGAAATGGGTGTTCAAAAATCACAACCTCAGATCCAAAATGAAAGCTCATGATTTATCAAGCAGTTGTGATTCCCACTTACCTGTACAGAGTTGAGACCTGGACAATGTTAAGGAGACACTTCAAGTTGCTGGAAAAGTACCATCAATGCTGCCTGCAGAAGATTCTTCATATCCAGTAGGAAGATAGATGCACCAACATTGGTGTTGTCTCGCAAGCAAACACCACGAGCACTGAGGCAATAATCATCTAACATCAACTTTGCTGGGCCAAGCATGTCATCCAGATGTGTGACTCCAGATTCCCAAAGCAAGTGTTATTCCCCCAGCCCAGTCAAGGTGTATGCTCAAGAGGAGGACAGAGAAAGCACCTCAAGGATGTTTCATAGTTGGTAGGGTTGGAAGGGACCTAAGCAGATCATCAAGTCCGATCCCCTACCATGGGCAAGAAAGGATGCTGGGGTCAAATGACCCTGGCTAGGTGGCTGTCTAGCCTCCTTTTGAAGACCCCCAGGGTAGGTGTGAGCACCACTTCCCTTGGAAGTTGGTTCCAGCTCCTAGCCGCCCTGACTGTGAAGTAGTGTTTCCTGATATCTAGCCTGAATCTACTCTCAATCAACTTATGGTTGTTGTTCCTTGTTACCCCTGGTAGTGCTCGGGGGAACAGGGACTCTCCCATTGCCTGCTGATCCCCCTTGGCAAGTTTATAGGCGGCCACCAGATCCCCTCTCAGCCTTCTCTTGTGGAGGCTGAACAGGTTCAGGCCCCATAGCCTCTCCTCGTGGGGCCTGCCCTGCTGCCCCCTGATCATGCGAGTGGCCCTCCTTTGGACCTTCTCCATGCTGTCCACATCCCTCCTGAACTGCGGCCCCCAGAACTGGATGCAATACTCCAACTGCAGCCTAACCAATGTCGCATAGAGGGGAGGATCACCTCCTTGGACCTGCTTGTGATGCATCTATGGATTCATGACAAGGTGCGGTTAGCCTTCCTGACTGAGTCCCCACATTGGTGGCCCATGTTCATCTTGGAATCAGTAGTGACTCCAAGATCCTTTTCTGCCTCTGTGCTCAAGGCCAACATAAAAAATGCAAAATTGACATCAACTCATGGGAGAAGATTCCCCAGGATCACCCCAAATGGAGGAAGAGTCTACTACAAGGATCTCAGTACTTGAAACCTTAGTATAACAGCAAGAGACATATAAGTGGGAGCAGCAGAAATGGCATGCTGTGGACTGAATCAAGAATCCAGAGCCACCTACCCCGCATAGAAACACATGCCTGAGTTGCAGCAGAAAATGTCAATCCCAGATTGGTCTTGCCAGCCATCTTTGGACCCACAGATCATAACAATCATGGAAGACAATCATCCTCAACTGTGAGGGACTGCCAGTGATGACGAATGAAAAGCATTCAGCATTTTGAAAACAGAGAATGTAGTAATTTAGACTGGTGTGTGCATGAAAATGATATGGCTGAGGAGTCTGATACAGTTGTTGTATATTTCAATTTTTTGGATTCTTTATGACACTTATAAGAGTTATTGCAATCCCTGTAAAAGAATTGTTTCTGTTGGAATGGCATTTGGACAACAGGAGACTAGAGCTTAATATGATTCCAGTAGGGAAGATGAGGCCTTTAATGTTTAAGATGCTTTTTCTTCTTTATTAAAGTGAACAGCTGGACTTGTAATGTCATAAATTAAGCAGGCCTGAACCAAGTCTCTACTTTGATGAAAGATTATTGAGAGAACTTGTAATGCTGAAGGAAATCGTATTGGTTTCTCAGTGCCCAGTGGCCTTTCTTCTGATCCCGCACTCAGCTGATAACATACCATGGTACTAGGCATATTAGTGGTACTGAAGTGCTGGCTTATGGTGAGGCAAAACCAGAATCTTGACGGGGGGGGGAGGGGTTGTTGATTTTTAAATAGAAATATTGGCTTTGATTTCTTGACCAAGTTTATATTCTACCTACCAAAAGTCTGCATCCAGTTCAGCTGGATAGGATATTCTTTCTAATCACATAAGCTTGATGTTCACTTTAATTAGTTGTCTTGTTCTAATAAGGGAGTGATTAATTTTCAGTCACAGGTGTTTTCCATGCACTGTAGTGGAAAGCCTTTTTGGGATGAAAGTATGAATATAGCATACTGTGGTTCTCATTATAGGAAGGTTAATTCAGACTAACAAAAAGCCATCAGAGTAGCCTCACATTGAGGTAATTCCTTACTCTAGTATATAGGTTTGACTGAATAGGAAATTTATATTGAAGTGTGTCAGAGGTCTGATCCCAAATTTAGTTGTAATAATTGTTGTTTTCTAGTTTTTGCACCTTCTAGAATTGTTCCATGTGTTGGTAGTGTTGGGGTTATGTTGTTTCCGTGACGGTCCCTGAAATGGGTGAGATGCAAGAGTGCTTGTGGGTCGTATCTTTTATTGGATCAATGGCGTGGTTGGGTTAGACATAGGCAACCTTTCAGAGGCCTGAGGAAGGATACTGTGATACCCAAAAACTTGCTTGTGTCCCTCCCAGCCATGCAGCTGGTCCAATAAAAGTTATCATCCACAAGAACTCGTGCCTTTCTCCATGTTTTTTTGTCACTTTTAGTCAGGATTATATTCTGCAGCCCTTCACCAAGCAAAGCTTTTTAAAAAAAAAATCAATGAGTTTTTTGCCTGATGAAGGACTTCAGTTTTCAGCTTTTAACATTTTGAAGTTGCCACATTTTATTTACCTTCACTGTGTTGTACAGAGCTCTTATAAACTGGGTGTCTGATGGATGTGAAGTTACCTTTCGCTGCTGTTTATATTATAGTAAGATGGAAGATTTGGTCCTGGACAATAACAGATGTCTAAGCAAAACCTGGCTGTACAATATTTCCTTTAGAATGGTGTCTTATGGCCATTTTCAATGATGTAAGGAGTTTGAGGGCATTATTTTGAATTTACAACTCTCTACTGTCAAGTAGAAGGTACTGTTAAAATAAGGGATTTTTGTTACCCTTTCAAAAACATCATAATAATAACAACTTGCCTCCTTGTCATGAGTTTGTGAATTGGTTTTGCATGCTTTCGTCACATTGTGATTGGATTCATCTAATTTTGTGTTTGCAGCTTTGCCAGCAGTGCCATTGCAGAAATTGTAACATGTTTGAATTGCGGCAGTAACAATGATCTGTGGTTCCCTTGGGTAGAGCAAATCTCACAAATAAAATGAAGTCTCATTTTATTTTCTCCTGACTTTGCAATGACTCAATGTTAAACCAGGCTCCAAAAAAGGACAGAAGCTGCGTTCAGATAATATTTAGTCTGACTGGATCCTGTCTTCATAAATGTATTTAAGACCACATTACCCTTTCTACAGCTGGTTTACGCTTTATGAAATGTCTGCGAGAACCCCTTTAGAAATATTTCCTCTAAGATGGAAGGAGGTTTTCCCTCACTCTCTGGACTAGGCTATGTGCTGAAACCCTCCAGATTTCGTGGGGATTTATTGGGGGGAGCCCTTTGAGCCCTTGCCATTCTAGGTAGTCTGGGCTATCTACCTAGCATTGCAGCTCCAATACAACTGCACTTCCAGAGAGTTGGCGGTTCTAGAACCCTGGAAAGATGATTAAGCCCTAGGGTCTCCACATGGCCCAGAGTACTTTCCTACATGGGCAACCTCTAAAGGGTCCAGGAAACAGGTTGCTACAATGTCAGCTTAAGTTTCTTATATGAAGGAAGAGCAGACCTTCAAGCAGGAGAAATGTTGGTCAGGGACATGAATGCTTTTCCTTAACTTGGTGATTTTTAGATGACTTAGGCTCAGTAAACCTTATGTTAGAGTCAGGTTGCCCTCTGAAAATGTCAGCTCTAGCTGTCACTTGTTTTATCAGCCATGGAGAAGTACTAGAGCAATTGTTTTGTTGCAGGGAACTCGGAAAGACCACAAGAAGTCAGACTGGTTTTGATACTATGGATTCCTGTTTGAAAACCCTGGGTTTATTTTGTGAATCCTGTAGGGGTTTGCACATAACACCCTGGTTGAGAATCTCAGCCTTATCTAGTAACTCTTTCACTTTTTGCCCTTGGCCATTCCATGGTCTTGAACCTGGGGTCTTGGCCTGCCTCTTTCCCGTTCCCATCTGTGCCCCTGATTTAGAAGGGGAAGTATCTGGGCAGCAAGGAGCAACTTTTGTACTTAGGCTGCTGTACTCTTGGATTGTGCTTCTACTGACTGATGGATTTCCTGGATGCCTTGCCTGGCTGGCCTCATAATCTCATGCTCTGCCTGACTCTCTGGATCTCCAACTCAGTTTCCCAGGCACATCTCTTTACTTCTCATTTCCTGTCTTCTCCTGAGGTGTGACCACCAGACCTGGCCACTTATGGCACAGCACGACATTCTTAACACAACAACAGTACTATGAAAAATCAATATGGGCAGTGTAGGGTATAAATAATTGATTGCTAAATATACTAAGATGGGATACTGTGACAGCTGTGTCTCTTCGGGGTCTGTCCACTAGTGGCCCCGCCCACCAGTTATGGGCCAACCATCCACCTCCTCTCCTGCCATGCCTTGTTGTTACTTGCTTAATCAGAGGATGTTAAGCAGGAGGCTGCCCATTTTCTGCCCCGATGCCAAGGTGCGCTATCTGTGGCTCCTTTTCTCCCCTTATACCGCAGCCCACGCATCACTGATGTACCAGGTGTTGTTTGCTCAGTCTCGCTCTCTGCGCTCCCTGGCGCTCGGGCTTTCTGTAGCCTTGTCTCACAACTGCACCCCCTCTGGGGCTCATCAATCATCACTCCCTCTGCTCTGGGGCTTCTCTCAGCCTTGGGGCTTAGGGGCTGTAGCCGTGCCTAGCCCCTTCCTTGGCACCGGGGTGCATGTACCCAAAAACGCTGTGCCCTCTCTGGCGCCGGGGTTAGTGCACTCAAAACGCTGCGCCCTTTCTGGCGCCGGGGTCCCCACGCTACCGTGGAGCCCCTATGAGGCCTCTTCCAACCCCTAATAGCCTCACCTGGTCCTCTGGTCTAAACAGAGAACACAAAAGCACAAGCCCCTGGGCTATAACATAAAATCTATGCCATCTAGCTGAACAACATTCAATCCCTACCTGGGAATTCTCTGCCCCATAACAGCAGTCAGGCTTCTTCTCGCTGTTTGCTCTGGCAGAGCTCCTTCTCCCTTAACTGCCGGCAGGGAACTCCCTGCCTGGCCTCGGCCTGGGGTTATATGGGAACCAGGCCCTGCCCTTTCCAGTCAGCTGACTCCCACTGGTTACCCTGGCAACCCACAGCTGGATTCCTTACTTATCGCTCCACAAGTAGCAGGCACCTCAGTGCCTATGTAAGAAGGTATCTGTAGCAGGGCAAGATTAGAGATGCAACATAGTATAAAGGGTACAACCTAATCTCTGCCCTTTTTGTGCCTAGAAAATCTTAGCAGATCTGTCCTATATACAGTAACCTGTGCTGGGGTTAGTTGGGTACCATGTAAACCAAATTGCGCACAATGCTATTTACCGCCACTGATAGATAAACCTTTATATCTCTGTGTGTGTGTGTGTGTGTGTGTGTGTGTGTTTATGTTTGTTAAATGTTGTATGCAATTACTGAAGTAGCTATCTCAGCAGTTAAATTAGTTGATATCTGGAATTTCATGCATATAAGCTATAATATCTTTGAGATAGGAAATGTGTTTAATTGTATTTTTTTAAGGAGGTACAACCTTCAAAGCCTGAAACACCAGCTGCAGTTAACACCAGTTCTTAGCCGGGTTGGCAAGAGGGCTGGAAGGCCATCTGCAGCTGGTAAGTAGTAAATGAGGCTTTGTATAGACATTACAGACAGAAGTTCAGTGGGGTTAGATTGAGTTAAAAATGGCTGCCTGGTCTAACTTGGTAATTAGGTGCTTGGAGCCTGAGCTAGGAAAAATCAGGGGAGGGGGTGGGTGGGATGGTGGGGGGCTAGCAGGGTCTGCAGGGGGGAGAGGCTTGGAAGGATCGGGGGGCTTGCGGGGACTGCAGGGTGTTGGTGAGCCTGGGTTGCCCTTTTAGGGTCTGAAGAATGATCTGGAGGATTTGGTTTATCTGTTTTTGTCCCCTTGTTTTGCACACATTTTTGTTTTATTGCTTTGTTTCTGTGGGCACAACTTTGACCCACGAAAAAATAAACTGTGTGGAAACCCAGAACACCTGGCCTAGAGAAGGAAGCTTACACATGGATATGCATTTCCCAGCACCATGGTCCCCCAGCTTTCATTTGGAATAGCTGATGGCTGCTGAAATAATCCCTTCATTTTGCTAGGACCTGTAACTGCAGGCATTGCTTATGTCATTTAAATGCAGAACTGTTTGCTGCGCATGTTCTAGGAAAATGACATAATTTGTGTCAAATTGTCACAGATCTGAAGTCAGCGTGATTATTTTCACTGATCGTCAAGCCGTAATTATTTTTACTTCTTTCTTTAGACTTTAGCATACAGACTTACTCCTTAGCTTGGAGTTAAAGCTTGCAAGGTGCTCTTTCTGTCTAAACAAACCCAAACCTGTTTTATTAAACCACACAATGTATCTAAAATCTGGTAAAGCACATCTCTTGTCTCCCTGCCATTCCCTCCATCAGTTAAAAATGGTTGGACATATTTTATGTCATTTGCTTGAAGGTCAGGAGCTTGTAAGCCATGTTTCAGCCTAGAGTAAATTCCTGCAGCCAAGTTATACCCATGAAAAAAGTTTATAGTAGAAACATTTGACAGGCCTTGAATGTCGTAGTGCCAGCGGGTGCTGCTGTAATAACGTCCTTAATGATTTGTGCCTTGATTATGTTTCTTTAGTCCTCCACCAGTATATACCTGATGTTTTTTCTGAGATCAGCCCCTAAATAATGGATGCAATCTTTTGCTAACAAACTTGCTTTAGTTTTCTCTCTGGCTGCATAACTGTAAAAGTATAAAAGATTTATTGTCCTCTTACTATTATTTCACACCAGTGTTAAATATCCTTTTTTTCCCCCTTTCACTTACAAAGAAATTATTTTTTTAATAAATGTTTACAAATGTGATTCATTTTTCTTTAAAAGTTTTCAAAATTTAACTTCTCTTTTACAAAATATTTTGACAGATTACGGTGAAAAGGCCTATATAACAATCAATACCTTAACCCATTCACTTTTTTTAGTTCTTATATTAATTATGTATATTTTAAATATTTACCACCCAGTAACATTTTATTTCTAAAATGCAAACAGGCATGTTCTCCTAAGCCTGGGACACGTGGCCTACAATTAATTAGTCTTTTGGTTTGTTTTTTTTAATTTGATCAACAAGTCCAGTTAAGGGTTGGATTGCTTCCTCATTGAAGGTAATTTAATTTCAAATTGCAGCAGTTTAGTGGCATATGCTATGAAAACTCTGTATGAAAATAATCTTCATGAAAAAGGTTTTGTGCCAAGATACAAGTATATGTCTTAAAAGCATAAATTATTTTGATGTAATAACAACACTTAAATTCTGCTGTATGCACTTATTTTGTTTTTTGTTTTGGGGTTGTTTGTTTGTTTTTATTTTGTTTTAAAGAGCTAATGTCTCATCCAGCTATCAAATATTATACCTGTGTGTTAAACCGTTTATTTTCAAATCATATATTAACCTGTGGTAAAGTGCCTTCATTTGATGTGCAGTTTATTAGAAATGTATAGTAATGAATTAATTGTGTTTGTTTTATTTTGGTCTGAGATCAGTTGTTAGCAATCCTTTGACATAAGCTAGTAATAATGGGTGTAGAAATGTCAGTCTCAGTCAAACTAATGTGATTTTGATGAACCCCTCTGGATACAGTGCATTATTCACTGATGCTCTTTTACTTGCTTATCTAACTGGGTTTGCATGGTATGGTGTTCCAAATATTGGCCTACTGAAAACCACCTGCATCTGCTGAGGTATTCAGACAAAAAAACTCTGGATGCTGGCCAGGTTTATGAAGTGCTTCTGCCCATTGCTTACGTGTTTGACAGTAACATCTGGTAACCCAGATGCTGAATTGTAGAGAGCCATAATTATTTTGAGAGGAGGGAGAAGTTGTCACACATGGTTATTATCATGCTACTATTACAGGTATTAGAATCAAGGAGATCATTTTGTTCTTTGCTGACAGCATATGTTTTTCTCAACTTTGGAGATGAGGTATCTGGGTGCTGTGTAAAATGCAGATTCAAATTTATCTTTTAAAGTTGTTTGAAGGTTAAAAAAAAAGAGCATAAGAATGCAAATGGGAAATGTTTAGTTTTCTCCAAATACTAACTTGATCGTTTCTGCGGTTGCTGCCAAAATATGTGGGGTAGTCTATTATAAGTGAAAGCTGATGACAACAGCCTCTGCTGGTTCCACACTATGTCCTGGAGCCACTCATAAATAAGACTGTCGGATTTTGTACCAGTGAAAGGAAAGTGCCTCAGCTCTGCTTATCTCAGCTGTTAAAGACCTCTATTTTTCCCCCTATGTCAGATTCAGACAGAGTATTATTAGAAAGAATATGACAGGTGTGATTTTTGTGTGCATGTGTATTTGCAGGGGTATTACAGAACAAATATTTTGACTGTGCTAATATAATAATTCATGGTGGTTTTCTAATGATAAATGGCTGTGTTAATATCAAGAATCTGCATCTGGGTTTCATAATGAAAGCCTTTCACTGAACAATAACACCTGATATTTGTAGTGTCTGTATTTGTTTCTAATAAATATTAGAATTTGGAAAGCAGACTCTGCTTTTGGAGATCTGCATGGCAGAAATGAGCATCCTGTTGTGAAATTTCTTGCGCTTGACATGATACTGAGGAATCACGTTTTGCGTTTTACGAGGGCATAACTATTTATACATTCTAAGGGAACGTAGCAATTCTTTTTGCCACAACAGAGCGTGACGTGGAATCCAGATGTCTTAGATCCCTGAACTTGGCTTCACCCAAAATCTCTCTCTCCTACGTCTACATCCAATCTTGTAGCA